TGGGACCAGTGTTACTGAACCAAGAGAATCGATTACTCCTCCTGCGTTCGCCCTGCGTCTCTGTGCGTTCGAGATTGGTAGAGCGTTGGGTGCCATTTCGGTGTAAGCCTGAGTCCTGAGTTGGTCGACGACGTATGCTTCCTATGCCGTTGGGATCGAGGAAAGGGTTCTCTGCTTGGGGCTCCCATGTTCCATGTGAGGTATACGTCTTGTCGCGTTTGGATCCAAGGTTACCAGTGGCCCGAAGTAGATGCGCAGGGACAGTGACATCCTGTACGATCTCACTGGACTTTCGTCCATGTGCGTAAGTCATGTCTGCCAATTGATGTTCTGCAGGAGTATCGGAAGGAAGGCCGGAAGGAAGACCGGATGGAGAGGTCATGTTGTATTAATGATGACCAAGATGAAGGTCCCGGGGTAGTTGTGTCTGTGAAATAACGGACGGGGGTACCCCATTAATACTCGGGAGCCATCTCCAGACCTTGTACGATGTCGAACCTCTAGTCGGGTAGTCGGACAGCCACATCGGGCGATCCGACTATGAAATCTCCTCCTATGTGCTATTACCGATCCACATGGTAGGTGTGGGTACAACCCGGCGTCGATCATCATGGAGGGCGGCATGCACGTGTTGGAGGCATGTTGAATGATGCGCCACAAATGCGGTTGACAGTGACGTTTAGAGCGAGGGCTAGATCTGGAAAGTTTCCACGCCACTGAATCGCAACGGAGCCTTACTAGTTCCCGTCTACTTCTACTCCAAGTAGCTCCAGATGGATTTGCGTTTCTGATGACCCTGTTCGGAGCACGGGGTTTGACGCCTCAGGCCGTGGATCTGTGGTTGTATTGCATCACTATATCGTTGGGCCATGTGAGTTTGACGTGTCTTCGAAGGCCATTTTCCGATGTATGATGGAAGGCAAGGAACCCACATTCGTATAAGCGTGGCCAAAGAAATGACCTTCCAGTACCTTTAGGTGGGTTGTAGCATAACCCCTGCAAGTCTCGCCCACGTACCTGTCCATGGACAGAGCAGCTGAAAAGATGGATTCTGACAGAATCGCCGACATGGATAGGGCCCGTGCACTGCCACTGTCTGAGCTAAAACAGTGGGCGCCGTGAATTGGAACGGGTACTAAACGACCTCTTCGGGGTTGACAAGTAGTTCGAGGCGTAGACTGAGGCTGTGGCCAAGAAGTGCCGTCTGGACATGACTCCGAATCTTACTGTGCAGTAGGTCATCTTAGATCGATGGAAGAAAGAGTTTGCATCTCGACACCGGTGCTGCGCGCAATGATATCATAGTCGTTGCGCTGTGGAAGTCGTGTTCGACTTCTACGCCTCGGTCCTTGGCCGTACACATGCATCCTGAACCCGTCCGGAAGCAGCGCCCGAGAAGATTTTCATCTCGCACTCGTAAACACGGTGGACTGGGCCTTCTACTTCCACGGCATCATCCGTGCTGCTGACAACGCAGGCCCCTGCGTTGCAGCCTCGGAGAAAGCTTCACCGCGCTTGCGCAGGTACTCAGGGTAATTGTCGTGTTGTTGAGGCCGAGGACGAAGTAGGCAAGGTGACATGGGAGCCTTGCAGAGAGAGTTCAAGGGTGCTTTGCTATTACGCAACTTTGCAGGGCATCCCGCTGGAAGTCGGCGTTTCTTTTGAACGGTTGGCGCTACTATAGTCTAACATGTCAGTGCCGTTCGGGTACCACAACCTGGGAGGCTTCGAGGCTCACGTTGTGGCGATGCCAAATCATTGTCGCGGGGTCGCAATTTACACAACTGTTCAGTTGCCAGGAGTTCGTGATCGGGAATCACCAAGAGATGTACGAGCGAGTGTTGCTGACAACTCGACGATGAGGTCCAAATTGCAGAACGCCGTTCCCGCCCGGGCCGCTGCCAAGGCCGGATGTCATTCGTTACGTCAGGCCCGCAACACGAGAGAAGCCTTTGCTGGACGTTTGACCATCCGTTAAGAATAGCCAACTTCAACCCTTGATCCCACCCCACCAATACAACACGAGATGAGTTCCTACGTGTCCCAATACCCGCCGGCTGTTGAGTTCGACCCTGCATACAAGAAATTCTTCGAGGACTTCTACGCTACGTCCGATGCAGCAGAAGCGCATGAGGAATACGTCCAGTACTTCACTAAGGATGCAACCCTCGTCATGGCCTCCAAGAGGGTAGTAGGCCGGGAAGGTTTGTCGCATTGCTTTTTGTTTCCAGCCTTGCGAACGGCTCCCTGGAATTCCATCGCCCTTCCATAATCTACCGGGCTAATTCATGGGCGTAGAGATCTTAGGCCTGCGCAAAAGTATGTGGGAGAAAGTTTCAACGAGAACGCACAAGCCACTCCAAGTGTTTCCGTTCGGTCCGAAGTCAGACGAGGTCATGTTGTACGGGACGGTCAAGTACGGCTTCAAGGCAGGCGGAGAAGCCAGCAAAGATTGGGCTGCAAGGGCGCACCTAGTCAAGGAGGACGGTGGCAAGGTGAAGATGAACTTCTATCAAGTCTACCTGGTGCGACACTCACCTCCTGTTCGCGTTCGTATATGTGGACTTGAAGCTAACCACGATGCTCAGGATACTGGAGCTTAGGATACCGGAGCTTAGACCAGGCAGGTAGATCTTATGTAGATCTACGATCGATTATAGGGGCTTTTCCGGCGCATGCAGTGTTTAAAACAACCGGCATACCGAGGTGACATTCACCGGTGTACTGTGAGCACTACTCCAGTGCTTACTTTGGTACGCTTTCAAACGAAGCGGTCTTCAGGAGAGGCCTCATATTCGGATCGGGCGGCGCAAGTACCGGGTCCACTTCACTCTGAAACACGCGCTGCGGAACCCCTCCGAACTATACAAAATTGTAAAGTGAACTGGAGATTAACGCATGGGGCTCTTCTTTACTATGCGGATGTGAGGGCCGCCAGCAAGTAGACGATGGATCCCTGCCAGTCACTTGGTTGTCATAAAACCTTACGATTCACGTTGTCGTACAACCCGACAGCCCAGATGCGAAAGTTCTAGATGACCTGTAGGTATCCCAGCACCGCCTCATCTCAAAAATATCATGCAAATTATTTCGAGCGCTGCGATGAATCAGGGTCCTGCAGGGCCAAGTGTTGCTTTTTACAACGTGGTGTTGCCCTGAACGTATTTCAGTTACACGTACATTGGTTCTGCCCCTGGAACTACTGTTACGGAACATAAGAATTGCTTTTTCGTGCTCATGTCCGTTTCCAGCGCCCTGGATTTCCTTTACGACCTAAGGACCAACCTCAGCCACAAGTACGTCAGCATGGGTGGAAATAGTTTGGTACTGCCGCAGTCTCGGCATGGCAACGCCACTCTGGGCGCCATGCTACGAACGTGGCCCAGATGCATCTAATGGATGGAGTCTCATGTACGAGTGCCGCGTAACGTTCTTCCAGAAGCCAGTCGGAGGCATAAGCAAAGCAGATGGGGCACCTCGTATGGTGCACCTACGCCTCGTATCATCTACAGCCGGCATAGATGCTGGACCTAGACGTGTCTGCAACGACAGGTTTCGCGACCTCCGCAACATCGCCGAAGTCAGAATACCCCTCAATCGCAGCATACTCAAATACAGCTCTCGTCCGGTGATGCGACCAGACCAGACTCCTTAGCTTTGCTGCTGGATGATGGATGTGGCACTGTGAAGCTGCTTGGTATCGTTCAGTCTCGATTACGCCGCGGGGAAGCAGACAGATCGCAGATGCTCGCGTCACTTTCGCCATATGATACCCCTGCTCGCAATCGTATTTGCATTCGTGTTGTGACTTTGCTGACGGGTCGGCCGAAGACGACATCATTGATCTTGTTCTGTGGCTCCGAGGATGTCGCTAAGAATTTCGGGCATCTCGGGCCATAGTTCACCCACCAGCAAGTTTGTTGTCACCAAGCAACAGAACATGATGTAATGGATGACCAGAAAGCTTGAGCTAATAAAGGGATGAAGCGCATTCATTTACAATCGCCTTTGTCAGAATCTGACCATGGAGTGCGGAGTTGCAGGAATGTAAAGTTCGTGGGGCGGGGAAATTGAAAAGTCAAAATTCACGGACGCAGGCGGCTCCCAGCACAACGCCCCGCGTTCCTACATGTCATATTTCGTAGGCCGCAACAGGCTTTGCTGTAAACGTCAGAGATCATATCTGATATAATTTCTCTTCTCTCCATCAACAGGCTACAAACCAGCCCGGCTAGCTCAATCGGTAGAGCGTGAGACTCTTAGTCTTTCACGGTCTAACAGACACGATTACTCAGTACATCTCAAGGTTGTGGGTTCGACCCCCACGTCGGGCTTGATAAGCTTTCTTTTTGTTCCTGGCGTCGTGGGTGGCAGAATGAAGGTCGTTGTGTTGGTGGAATGGACATGGCGACTTTTTTTGGCAGTGCCCCACCATCCACGATTCTGCCACCTAACAACATCACACGACGCCCAATCTTTCTGCTACTAGCCTACTCATTGTTGATTCATAGTCTAGAAATATTCTACAACATCATTATCTATGTGCACCCTGGGTTATCGGGCTCAATCCTTCCTCCTCGCAAATTGCACACAACCTTGGAATAGCTAAGCAACGTCCTCTATACAGAGCGCCCTATGCAAGAGGAACAATGAACAACTACCTCCTAAAAACCTACATTAAACCGAGTTTTGGTAAAGGACGGCTTAGACATCTATGTATACGGCAGCGCACCTGTTCAGGCTTTTCTTTGAGTTGAGGGCAAGCTACGTCGTACGCAAGTGACTCAGGGAGACCCGCAGCAAAGAGCAACAGCATCAAGCTTATGAAATCAAGAGTTTATAACGGATTTCAATTCGAAGATAGATCAAAAGAGAAATTACGACCATGAAAATAGCTAGAAGCATACGGCTTTCCGTGTTACACACTGATCAGACTCAGTAACCCAACCCAACCCACCCCACCCATACCCCTCAAATAACCCCTCAAACAACCCCTCCAACTACCCAACACTCTTACCACCCTCACCGCCACCATCTCCTCCCTCTGAACTCATACAACTACTATCGTCCTTCTCCCCCATCAACACCGGAACCGTCAACATCTCGCCCGCAAGAATCAAATTCGGGTCCTGGATGTTATTCGCCTTGACGATGTCGCATATGCCGACTGCGTTCTCGGCTGCGATCTTCTCTAGTGTGTCGCCGGCGGCTATGGTGATTTGTTTGTCGCTGCCGGAGTTGGGGTCTGGAGATGTGGAGGGTGATGGGGTGGGTGGTGTGGAGGCTGTTGCTGAGGCCGAGGTTGGGGCGGGTGGTGGTGATGGAGTTGCAGCTGGTGGTGGTGGTGACATATAGGTGGAGGCGGGTGGTGGTGACGCAGCTGGGGGTGACGCGGACGATGCTGGTGGAGGCCCAGCTGGTGGAGCAACAGAGGCAGAAGCAGATACAGAGGTTACTAGTGTCGTTGGTGCTGGGGCAGGAGGAGCGCCGGATACACTGCTGCTATGTTCGCAGCGGCCATGCCTGCGATGGATATGTGGGTGGACTGCAGCGGCTGTGCTTGACAACACGAGGGTTGAGAGCGCGAGAAGAATTGCTGAGGTCTTCATGGTTGCTGGTATCGTGATGCTGACTGAAGTTTGTAGGATGTTTCGAGGTGTGGTATATAGATTGTAAGTATGGTATTAGAGAGGAGAAGCTGCCCGGTAGGTGGTACGGGTTATAGGTCCAGTGCTTGTTGAATGAGTGGCAAGGTCTCGTGAGCGTACCACGTTCAGGACTGTTCATGATATATATATTTTAATCGCTTCCTTAGGGCCTAAGGAAAGAAACATTCATGTTCGAAATTGTGGATAAACGCGTTGTTCACGAATGCGTGAGCTGCTCCAGAACAATGGAACGAGTGCCTCCCGTCAATGCCGGCGTCCTGTTATTTCGATGAAGAGGTGTCAATGGAACGTTTTCTGTCACAGTGCGTTGGTGCTTAGCTGTCATTGTTTCGTACACCAGGCTCTCTTCCAACCTGTGATGTCGGGTTGATCAAACAACAACGGTACAACACGCCGCCATGTACTCGCTCTCCCAGCTTGGCTTCGCGGAACGGCGAATTTGAAGTAAAAGGCCGACGTGAAGATTGGCGATTTGCCGGTGTCAAGAAACTGCATTGATGGTACGGACACGTGCTGACAAGTGAAGCGAGCTGTGATGGCCTGACGTGTAACACCTGTCAGTTGTCAGAGAAGACGCCAGCCACGCGTAGCAAAGCATCACCGAGTGTCTAAAACATGAAGGTATTGCAGGAAGACGATGAGAAAAAGACTTCGACTTTCAACGTGTTGTGTGATTAGGATATGCTTATGCTAGAGGACTGAAATACTGTACAGTGAAAGAACAGAATGCGCTCGCTAATATGATGCGGTAAACGAACAATAAGCAAAGGTGGCTCTGAGTGAGCTCATGGAGCTGCAAAAACATTGAAGATAACAGAATGGAAACAACAGGCATTCATGCGCCCAGCGCGATAAGCCTGCTCTTGATGTCCGTGGGCCTCATCATCTGGTTGATGACAACACTAGAAATACTGCCCATGCTGACGACTGACACGTATCCCGGAGCGACTTCGCTGGCCAAAACCTCAACACACTTCATCGCCTCGTCTTTTGAAATCGGCGATCGGATAGAGCCTTGGATTGCCTGCAGAAGGGTGGTTGTGGAGAAGGAAACGCGCGATCCGGGTCTGTTCGCGCAGAGTAGGGAGAGTACACCAATGACCTCTGGAGTGCGTTGTAGAGCTGCCTTTCGCTGGAGTTCGGCGGGGGTCGGCGCTGCGGGACCAGCCTTTGCAGCTTCCTGCTTTGCGAGAATACGGTCGAGGAGGTTGGTCTTGCGGACGGCAGCAAATTCGGTGATCTTGGGTTGGGCGGGCTGAGCTTGTTGGTTCTGGCCCATGGGCGTCTCGTTCTCCTTTCCGAAAGAGGGTCTCGTCTTCTTCTGTGCACGGCCTTGTTGTACACTCTCCTTGAACTCCCTCAACCTCTTGCGTCCCTTCTCTTGTGCTGGCGCGAGTGCGGTGAGGGACTCGCATGTGGTGACTTCGGCAAGAGGAAGCTGGCCCAAGAACTTGGACATGGAAGTATCGTCGAGAAACGTGTCCATGCATGCCTGCTTGATATCGGCCTTCTTTGGCCGTCCCCGTCCACGCTTGGGCACTGCAATTGGTCGGCTCATCATCTTCTGCGAGGTGCACCATTGCGTCCAAAGCGTGTCTAGGCCTTCTTTGAACATATCCTGCAATCCCTCTTCATTCATATGCGTCATGCCGTTCATCATCGGACTGCTGTCCTTGATCTCGATGCAGACCTTGCCGCGGCCATAGTCGGAGAGGTAGTAGGGGTTGTTGTTGCCGGAAGGGCCATGGTCGAGGATGCCGATGAGGAGTCGGATGTCATCGTACGTGACTTTACGTTGCCGCCAGACCAATGTCGTTGATGCAATCAGGTCTCGAAGATCGGCAGGCGTTGAAGTGCCATTGTGGGCGTAATGCAGCGACAGCGCGGTCAGGAAGGAAGAGTGTAACGCGAGGAGGTTGACAAGCTCGGCCGGGAGCTGACCGGGAGCAATAGGCGACATTGTTGATAGAATAGTGGAATGGATACGACGATGAGATATCTGGAACAATGTCGATAAGTGATGTGTCGTGTGAGTGTGAGGTCGAGGTCCAAAGGAGTGTTTATGGGCCGAGGGGGCTGCAAAACAGGGAAGGCACGTTCGACGCGCTTTACGCTTCTGCGCGTTCGCGTCGCGTTTCCGCCCCACTTTAATGAAACTTGAACGTGTCGTTGCCCCACGCATCCGGCGTACTTTCAGCCCTCATTTGGCATTAGTACTATTTCCATTCTACTCATGACGCAGCGCGTGCAAAAATTGTCTTGTTCTCGAAGGAGTGGATCACGCAAAAGCAATGCCGTCGCGGCGCGTACCGTCGCCAGAGCTTCTCGCGTCTGTGCAACGAAGAGAGGGCAATTGTGAGTATTGTATCATATTAGGATAAGAAGCCCTGCGCCTATATACTCCAATGCTCATGCAAGATCTTCAATAACAAGCTCCAGCTCGTCTTGTCGCATTATCATTACATTATTAGTCCTCTAGACGTAGAGCTTACTTTCCGCCAAACAGTCCACCGAGCCATGATTGAGTCTTCGCGGCCTTCTCCTCGACAACGGCATCGAACTTGTTGGCGGCCGCGTTGACCTGCTTGCCTGCCTCGTGCATCTCGCGCTCAGCGCGGACCTTGGCCTCCTCGTACTGCTTCTTCGCATCTGCGCTGTAGGCATCGAACTTCTGCTCTGCCCTCTTCGCTTCCGCCTTAGCTTGGTCGGCCTAGCAGTGGTCAGCATACTGTCACGAGTAGTAGGGTCGCATTAGACATACGTATTGCTGTGCGCTGGCGCGTACTGCCTCGTAACCCTCCTGGCCGGCCTTCTTTGCTTCCTTGTCCTGGCCAGGGTAGTCGCCTCTCAGCTTGCGTGCGGCAGTCGCAGCGTCATCTATACATGTTAGTCAAGATACTATGGAAGTTGAATACCCTCCGGACGTACGTTCAGCTTTCCTCTCGGCAAGCTTCGGGTCGCCTCCAGCGCTGTAGAGGTAGTAGGTGACACCACCAACAGCAGCGAGACCACCGTATGTAGCGAAACGACGAGACATGTTGATGTAATGGGGTTTTTGCGAGGTGGTATTGATTGGACTTGAAGCAAGATCAAGGTATGTGAGATTCGAATTGGAGATGTAGAATGAGAGTTGTGCGAGGGAGGGGAACCTTGGAAGGCGTCTTTCAAACAAGCGCATGTGTGACGTAATGGCAGACAGCTGCAGCACGGGCTTTTCAGTGCCGTGCGAACCAGATCACCAAACTAGGACTCTACCGAGCGCGTCAAGCCGGATCCACATTACCTACACTCGCTGCTTTCGCTTCTACATGTTAATTATAATGTCATCATAGTATTTCTCTTCATCGCATCGTTGTCGCACCTCGATCGTGCCTTCCCAGCGTGCCGTCTCTTGTGCGCGCCCCTTAAACCGTTCACCACAACAAGCCAGCCTCGAGCGACTGCCTGAGCGACTACCGCGCAGCGTGCCGTGCCTGCCTAACACAGCGACCTCATGTATCCACGATAGCAACGGCGTTTGCCTCTTACCCTCCCTGACACCTCCACCACGCTTGTAGCATGGCGGACCAACAAATCCACCTCGTCGACCATACCGACGGCGACAACACACCGACCTCGGCTACACAACCCGAACAGCGGTCAACCACATCGGACTCGCACATCGATATCCTCTACGAGAACCAACGCGGTTGGTTCGTCTTCGGCATTCCCCTCTTCTCGTCCAAAGCGCTATGGAACCTGCGAATCGACCCTGCGCCGTGGCAGGATGCCAAGTTCAAGCCTTCAGCAGTCAACATCACAAATGCACAAGTCCCGGACCCAAGTTGGGTATGGGACTGGAAGAGCTGGTATGTCGACATGAGTCTGGATGTCGATGAAGAGGGTTGGCAATACAGCCTGCTCTTCAAGGGTTCAGCGTGGCATGGCAACCACCCGTGGTTCCACAGCTTCGTTCGGCGGCGACGCTGGCTACGGAGGCGGGTCAAGCAGAGGCTGCCACCTAAGACCAAGAAGAATGCGAAGGAGCGCATGTTTGGCGAGACATTCAGCATCGGCACGACACTGGCTAGATCAGCCACCTTTGGCACTGGCAGCGGTCTATTGGACGACAGCGCACAGACGAGTCTAGACGAGGAGATTAGGGATATTGCGACATTGATGAGAAAACTCAAGGCAGCTGCCATTGACCGCGAGAAGATCATCTACATACACAAGTTCATCGACGATGGAGGGGAGGAGCTGCACTACCTCCCAGAACAGGTATGTATGCTGTATTACCATGCAAACATAGCTAACAAGTGCAGATACCGTCCATCATGTCGATGCTCATCTTCCAGAATTCGCGCCGCCAACTCCTCTCCACACTTATGGACCGCTTCGAGGCCGCCAAAGACCACCGCGAACAACACAAGAAGGATCACAAGCCTGAAGGCGACGCCGAGGAACGCAGAATCAACAATCTGCTCAAGGCTATTGAAGCCGCGGATAACGAGTGTAAGAAGCTGGAGTATTGGAGCGATATCAAGAATCTGACAGAAGAGGGCAAAGCCGGGAATGCAACAGATCCCAGCATGGGGTGGGACGAAGAGAAGTGGCAGGGACTAGATGCGAGTGGCGCCAAGCATCCTGATACCTGAGTCTGAGAACTTGAGAAGGTTTGGATGCATGCATATATTGGAGTT